ATTGTGCCGTAGTTACCTCCACTCAGAATCATCTTCAATTTTCAAGAATTACTAAAAAACAAGGACTCTTCACAAATACTAATGAAATGAAATTCAATATCTCTTGTGTATTATAAGTTGTTTCATGAACATTACATTGTATTAGACTGTTAATAGTCAATAATCTTGCCATGTGGAAGCTGATATTCCCATCGGTGATATTTCTCATATTCTGCAAGAGCAAGAACAAATATTTTAATGCAATGTAACCACTATCTTTAAATCTATCTTACTTCAATAGCCATTGGTGATGCCACCTTTGAGGTGTAGTGACTATTGTTAAAGTTGATTCTGTTTGAATTTTCAAAACTAAAACATGGTAGAATCAGGAACTTCACCGCTGACTGGTAAGTTTTTCACCCTGAAAGTTTTTCATGCTGCTATACATTCTCCTCTCACACCATTGCACAATGTGAGGCAGCGATCCCTCAAATCCTTCTCGGCTGTGTAATGATTCCTCCCTAAGGGACAATAACAGTAAAATAGCTCAGCAGATTAATATTCAAAGTCATTAAAATATTCCACATCACTCAGCAAAAAAATCATAAAATTTAAGAATAAGCTGTTTTCCATAAAGACTGAACACAGAGGAGCTCTACCCTCCAACATATGATAATCATAACTACTCAACTGTCACCAGCTAAGCAATTAAAATTGTCCTAAACTTGGCAAAGCTGATATTAAAATCTGATAACTTGCAGAATTAGAACATATAGCTTGTCTTGAGCACTTCACTAATTGTTTTTTTTATGAGCTATTTGAAAATAATTTCTTATACATTCTAATTTATTCACGTTTGGGAGGAAAGGAAAAGATATGATACAAAGCCCAACAAGGCTCCAACTACTGCTATTAGAGGATAACTATTTTCTCAGGAGACTTTTGAATGTACTTACAACAGCAAATTATTTCCTTACTGACGCTCTCTTTATGCGCTTTTAAATGCAACAAAATGTTAATTGTGCTGTCATCTTCACTAAATATTCACTGTATTGTATATCAGCGCTCTTCAATTTTAACCGTATTCACTATATCTGTGTCATCTGCAAATTTTACTATCAGCCCATCCCCAGCTAGGGGATACTGCATTGTCAAGAACTTTGAGATGACTCCTCCTCATGTGAAAGACTAAATAAATGTAAATTGTATTGCACTTCCACTACCCAAATCCAGATCACTTACATACTTTACACACTTAATGAAACCATTTTTGTGAAAGGAAATATATAATTGTAGGGCCTGGATTAACTATTGTTGGGTTCCTTTTAGCGTAATTGGATCCTTGTGTGGAGTCCTGTAGCACAGTGGTTAGAGCACTCGCTTTGTAAGTGAAACCACTAAATTTACCATTGTAACAGAAGTTAAAACAACTTAACATATCTTTGATCTCACGTAGCACTGCATCAGCAGTAAAAAAGACAAATGAAGAATTAGGATTTATTAGGACTCGTGGAGTCCTGTTACTCAGTGGTTAGAGCACTCGCTTTGCAAGTGAGAGACCTGAGTTCAATTCCAGGCAGAGGGCGAAACCTTGGGCAAGTTTCCTTACTCCACACAGAGCCTAATAATAATCCCTCCAAAAAAATACAATAATAAAATTGGTCATTTTCAATCCATGACTGTTTGTGGGATATTGCTGTGCGCAATTGGCTGTCGGTTCGCCCACAAATATACAGTCAATTCACTTTACAGTATATTCTGTGAAGCGCTTTGGGACGTCTGGAAGACATGAAAAGCGCTATATCAAATGCAAGGATTATTATTATTATTGCCATTAACCAATAAAAGATGAACACAGAGTTGTACAATCAAGACGGTTTATTCAAAATGCAACAACAATTCATGTAACAGAAATATACTACCAGATAATCAATCTTGCCTGATGACCAGCTCTTGGCTCAGCTGCCTGTAGTTCTTACTCTGTAAAGCTCAACTTTCCTTTGTGTGTCTGTTGTATTCATACCCAGCTAGTTGGTGTATCTGGGATCTGCTCATGATGGTATTTTTCCACTATCCTATGTCCCTCTTGCTTGCTGAGACTACTTGTCCTCCTTATCTTTTCCTTTGCTCGCCCTCCCTTTTCTTCCTTTATCAGTATGTTCTCATAACCATGGTCTCTGGTCAGGCGCTCTGCTCACTGGTAGTTGCATGTGAGCCATCTGTTCTGTTAACCTTTTCTTAAACGAACACTTATCAATATATTTATGTCACAAGGTTGTACTCATGCCTTCTCTGTATGCAGAATTGAATACAAATAAGTATTATTGGTGAAAACAGTGTGTGCTTATCACCACACTTGTGTATTTGACACAAAGAATTTAATACCATCGTCATTGATTACAATTATTAAACTAAAACATCAATTTACGCAATCATTTAATGGTTGATCTAACGCGAATCGGTTTACCATTTCCTTTTTAAAGAATTATTCCTCCAATTCTACAAATTAAAGATAATCCAGATTCTATTGTCTGCCACAAAATGAAGGGAATATGATCGTAAAATTTTATCTTGTAAGAAGCACCAGCATGCAAAAGGTGAATTAAGAACTTTTACAGTTAGAAATGTATTGAGAATATTCCATCCAAATTGTATGCAACACGTCTAATATTTTTACTTTAGCATTCCATGGTTCTTATCAGATATTTAAGTGAAGGTTACATCTCCCATGGCCTACCCAACATAATAAATCAATACAAAGAGCAAAAAAAAGCACCACATGTGGTAGAATCCAGAATTAGGTGAACTTACATAATTTACTCCATTGTATATGGCAATCGACTGAAAAGTAATGACAAAGCCAGGAATATCAGAATTAAGATGGCCTCTGTGGCTGTCTTGATAGTCCGGATCCGGAGCCAGGCAGCTCTGCAATACTGCAAGACATTGCTGAAAACAGCAGGCCCTGGAAAGCAAGACGAGTCACTGGGGGCTGGAATTTTTCCTACTTGGATCCTGTTAAGCTGTAAGATAAAGCCTAGCAGGTAATGTGGTCGTGGCTCGACAGTGATCACAAAGGCAAGTGTTTTTAAGCTTGTTAAACTCTAGTTGTATCTCAAAACACACTCTGAGGTCCCCAGGCCTTGGCTCCTGCCAACCTGCACCTATAAATATATAGTCTACACTTGACAGCAATCAAGTGTAAATTACTTTGAAATGCTTTGACATATCAAATGTGATTTTTAAACTTCTTTACAAACCAAAAAAATCCAGGTACTGTTTTCATTCTGTTAAAGCAATTGCTTTAAATCGTGTTTTATTCTCTGACACTACATTCAGCCTTGTCAGTTGTTGTCCAGTTTAACCAAAATGAGTGTGCCTTATGACCATTTTCCTCTGTAAAATTCCAGATCAGTGGAATCAAGGAATGAAAAAAGAGGGCAGAAAATAAGCAAGAAATGCCTCTTGAACCCAATAACTCTCCACTTCAATAACCTTCCCGGGTAACTAAGGCTTTGGCTCACAAATTTATTTCACATTTAATTACATCGTGGCAAATCATTCTGCCTGACTTCCTTCCTTAGTCCTACATGCAAATATTTAACTCATGTTCTATGGTATTTGAACACCACACTATACTCAAAAAAAAACTTAACTATATCTATCTCCTATGCACAATTGGCTGCCACAAAACATACAATCACTACACTTTACAGTATATCCTGTCAAGCGTTTTGAGATGCCTCGAAGACATGAAAAGGCGCAGTATCAAATGCAAGGATTATTATTATTATGTTGTCAGGTTCCTTAAAAATTTTGAAAACGTTATGCAGGTCATCCCCAAAGTGTCCACTTTTCCAAGAAAATTAAGGCAAATCTTCTCATCGCATATTTTCTTCATTCTTGCAATCTCAGCAGATTCTTCCCAAGAACAGCAAGAAAAAAAGTAAAACTGAATGGCGTGGAGGCAATAATTCGCATGTAAGCAAAACGTGTGATCCAAATCTGTCTTGAACTGTTGACGGGTTTCAGAATGAAAATCTTTACCTCCCCCACCACACACATACATGCATACTTTGTCACAATGAATTGTGTTTGTAGGGTTAGTCTAAGCCTATCAAAAATATTTGTGGAAGTGAATCTTTCTTTCTTGTTCGCGTGCTACTTCACAGAATACCAATTGAGTTAAGCCGATATCCTAAAATTAGCCGTATTGAAACACTGGCAGGGAGTGTGGCCAAATAATAATAATCCTAATAATCTTTGCATTTGATGTAATGCCTTATCATGTCTTTTAGGCATCTCAAAATGCTTAACAGAATATACTGTAAACTGAATTGACCATATTTTGTGGGTGAAATGTAACAGCCAATTGTGTGCAGCAGTGTCCCACAAACAATGGTGGATCGATTGACCCAATCATTATTATTATTATTCATTTTTCCTGGTCTCTATAAAGGGTAATTCCAAAATATAATTGAAAAACCAAATAGTACTGAGTACAAATGCAGAGTGGGGTAACATTTGGACTGTTTCTTAACCATTTCTTGCACTAATTAAATACAAGGAATGGGTTAAGAAACACTGCAAATTTTACCTTAACATCACGAGATAGTGAACTAAATAGAACTTGTAAAGAAATAAGCATATGCTTAGGCATTCCATGCAAGGCGTTTTATTACAGTTTACTTCTTAATAAAGAACTGGATTTCTCAATCAGACTATTCATAAGTAGTTTGAATGGACCACTTTACTGGCAAGGTTCATCACTGTGTTAAATTAGTTCTGCAAAGTTACAATTTGGATAAAAACATAGTGGATTGAAGGGTCCAGCGTCATGTGCAAATCATGCTGTGCGTTCAGTGAAATAATCCGTTTAATGAGGGAGTCTCAAGATTACATTCGTTTGCATTGAAGCGTGGAAATCCATTATTCATGGTTCTTCTACTTAAAAAGTGTCAGAAATTAAGGGATCGGCTGCAGTGTTAGTCCAAGTAAAATAGGGTCTGCATTTAGCCAAAATGTGCAAGTCTTTTTGGTTGTGGGTTGTACTTGGAGTTTTGCAGCGAGCTGGTGCCCAGTTTCCCCGCGCCTGTGTCACTGTGTCGGCTCTGCTGTCCAAACAATGCTGTCCGGCTCAGGGCTCGGATCCCAGTGTGCTGTGTGGAGCTGAGACCAGCCGCGGCCAGTGCGCTGATGTGCGAGTCGATGAGAAACCCTGGAGCGGTCCCTATAACCTTCGAAACGTGGACGATCGAGAGAGATGGCCTTTGAAATTCTTCAATCGGACCTGCAGATGCACCGGTAAAAAAAGAGCGATACTGTCTCTCAGTTCAGTTCTGCTGTTTCTGGATCCACTGTATTCATTTCCATTTTATTTCTTTATTAAAAATCAGTTTTTGAAACAGTCAGGTGTTAATAGGGAAGAGTTGGCAAACAAAATTGACCTGCAGTTTTTTTTAATGTAGGTATCAACGCAAATTAATGTATTGGTGAATTATCAATGCATTTGATATACTTTAATACTGTTCCCTTGAAGTCAAAACATCACAAAGTGCTTCACAAGTAATTGCTGTTAAGTTTGTAGGCAAATGTGGCAGTCAATTTGAACATAAGGTCCTCAAACAGCCAGGAGGAGAACGACAAAGTCGTGCAAAGATTGTTCATCAGGACAATCTCCCATCTCCTTTAAAATAGCCAAAGGAATTTTAATGATCACCTGAATAAACAGAAGGACCCAGGTCTTAAATGAGTGCACTTTTCAATCTACTGCATCCCAGCACTACTTTGGAGTATCAGCTTCGTCTGCCAACTCAAAATCTCTCAATTTGGGGCTTGAACCCACAACTTTCTGAACCAGAAGTAAGAGTACTACCAATTGAGCCACACCTAATTACCTGATGTGTGTCTTTAATAGGCAGATATACAGTTTTAATATTACTAAGTATCAGTAAGCTCACTTACATTAGTCAGCACATTAACAATTAACATAGCTGAAAATTTGAGGCTTATGAATTTTAGAAGTGTGATGACTAAAGCAGAAGGAACTTATGCTTATAATTAATGCACTATTGTATATTTCAGCTATTGTAACAGCTGACACATTGGGCCACCAAGTAAAAGTATAGTGTAACAGCAGTAATTCGGTTGATTAAACCAAGAAAAGCGAATCTCATTAGGTGGATGGTTCATCACCGAGAGTTGGAGTGTAGATGTGATCTCAACCTCGTGAACCAAAGCAGAATAGCACAATGCAATTTGTACTGATACAGCACTTTCAGTCAGGGGAAAGTCCTGAAGTGTTTGCCAACTCTGATGGACAACTGGAAATGAGGGTGGGAGCTAAGCGGAGTGAGGGAGCTGAAGGGAGAAGGGGGAAAGATGACCAAAAGCGCTTTCAAAGAGGTACAGTTTGAGACACACCTTGAAAGAGGGGAGGGAAGGAGCAAGTCGCAGAGATCTAAGAATGGAGTCTCCAAGTGTCTGAAAGTCTGCTCCCAATGGTGGGGTGGATAGAGGGGATGTGAATGTAATGTCCAAGGCAGAGTCCTAATAAATACTTCCTGTGTTATTTCTATTCTGCTTGAACACAGTAGTTCGAATGAGTATCACTTACGTTGAGCACTGCTGCTTTGAACCTTAATTATACATGTTCAACTTTAAAGCTTATGTCGCTTCTTCCATGCAGAGTGCCTTGACACAAATGCTAACCCAAAAAGGTATTTGAACTTGGTTACTTTCCACAAATAAATGTTGCTTATTGGACTGATAAATGCCTTGCAGTGTTTGTGAAAGCGAGGAATATGCTCAGTCCTACTACTGGACATACCTTAAACTAAGCTTGGGAAATATATTGTGCAGTATTCATGGTTAGAAAGCAGTCAACAACAACGTGCATTTATATAGTGCCCTTCACATAGGATAACATCTCAGAATGCTTTACAGTGATGTGTTGGACAGTGACTAGGGAAGAGGGGGAGGTGACCATAGGTGTAGTTGAAGAGGTAGATCTTAAACAGCAGGACTTTTAAGCGCTCTGAGATAATAATAATAATCCTTGCATTTGATATAGTGCCTTATCATGTCTTCGAGATGTCTCAACATGCTTCACAGAATATACTGTAAAGTGAATTGACTTAATATTTTGTGGGCGAAACGTGGCAGCCAATTGCACACAGCAGTGCCCCACAAACAGTCGTGGATTGAGTGACCATTTTTTATTTTTTTGAAGGAATTATTACCCCCGGAAAAGTGATCCGCCAATCGACTAACAACCGGGTTCCTACTTACTGCTAGGTAAACAGAGACGTGTGGAGTAAGGAGACTAGCCCAACGTTTCACTCTGCCGGGAATTGAACCCAGGTCCTCTCACTTGCAAGGCGAGTGTTCTAACCATTAAGCTACAGGAATCCACGATGCCGTCCAGTGTGAAGGGTGCTATTTAAATGGAATTTGTTGTTGACCTAAGGACAGTTAGCCAGGGGATAACACAGGAGTAGAGAGAGAGATTTTCAGAGACAGAGGCATAGAAATCAAAGGAATGCCTGGGAGGTTGAGGAGGTCAGAGCGAAAGGAGGAAACATTGGTGGGAACCAAGGAGGATGGCTTGCATCTTGTCCATGTTGAGGTGTAGAAAATCATAGTCCTTGATGGCTGACCGGCAAACGGCAGAACCTTCATGGATTTAGAATCAAAGGGTGAAAAAGTAGGTTTGGGTATCATGCGTATACTATTTAACCACATAAATGAGAACTGTTCTCATAATGAGAACATTATGTTATGTTAACTGTGAGCAGGTGGGAAGGTAACTATTTAAAATGGTACCGCATAACGACTTGGAATATTTTCTTGAATGAATTGATCATCCTGTGTAACTTTTTGAAACTGTTTTTATTCACTAAAACAGGAAACTTTGCTGGATACAACTGTGCAGAGTGTAAATTTGGGTGGATAGGCCCCAACTGTGACCTGAGAAAACCTCCAGTTACTAGAAAAAATATCCTTTCACTTACGCCAAAGGAGCTACAGCAATTTTTGGATGCATTGGACCAAGCTAAAACTACGGTTCATCCAGATTATGTGATTGCTACCCAACACTGGTTAAGTTTACTGGGGTTGAATGGAACTGAGCCACAAGTTGCAAATGTTACCATATACAATTATTTTGTATGGCTTCACTACTACTCTACCAGAGATACACTCCTGGGTGAGTTGTACTTAATTATGCGTTGAGCAATCTTAATCTGTGAACTTTCTTCCCACTTTTCTTCTTTGTACAATAATAATTCAAATGCCCTCCTCACTGATCTCCCCAGCTCCATCATACACAACGTTCAATTAAACCAAAACTCCGCCACCCGGATACTCACCCGCACAAAACTCTGTATCTCCATCACACCAGTCCTTGCTAGGCTCCACTGGCTCCCAATTACCGAAGGGTTTGATTTCAAGATCCTCTCACTTGTTTTCAAATCCCTTCACACCCTTGCACCTCCCCTACCTACCCAATCTGCTTACCGATCTGCTATCCGACCTACCACCCGGTGGAGTGTGGGATCTTGCCTCCGATCGGCTGGCTGTCCCTCCTGTTTTTCCCTCGTCCCCTATGCTCCATCATCGGTGGCCGTGCCTTCAACTACTACACCCCGAAACTCTGGAACTCTCTCCCTCAATCCCTCCACCTTGTCCCTTCCCTCCTCACTTTCAAATCCTGCCTAAAGACCTTCCTTTTTGATCGTGTTTACGGTCACCTCCTCCCTCCCTCCCTGGCTCAGGGTCAGACTACGCCACTGTCAAACACTCTGGGATTCTCCCCCGCGTAAAGGGCACTATATAAATGCAAGTTGTTGTTGTCTTCTCGACATGAAAGGCATTATACAAATGTAATTTGTTGTTTTTGAGGTTGAATGATTGTGGCTTGCTTAATATCTTATCTAATTATATGATTAACATTAACAAACCTAAGCTTACTGTGACAGTCTAATTAGTCTCAATATTGCTGTACATATTTTTGTTTTGAACTGCAAGTTTCAATACAGTTTTTTTCCTCTCACTCTCCACCCATGTTTTTTGTACTACAAGGTCCTGGTCGTCCATTTAAAGGAATCGATTTTTCTCACCGAGGCCCAGCTTTCTTGACCTGGCATCGGTATCAATTAATGTTGCTCGAAAGAGATTTACAGGTTAGATAATGCTAAATTTGAGCATTCAGGCTCAAATACCATTAACTGATTTTACTATGTACAGATCTTTTCGAAAAAAAAGGGATAATATATGTAAGAGAACAAAGTCACGTAAAAAAAGGTTTTTCGGTTGAGAAATATTCTGATCAACTAACCACATCTTACCACTCTACGTCGCAGTATGTTTAACAACAACAACAAGATTACATTTGTTTTTCACGTTGGGAGGATGTCCCAAGGCGCTGGACAATGTACAGCATCTCAGACCCGAGTTGGGGTCAGTGGGGGAGTAGGGAGGGGAGGGGAAGGGGGGTGGCCGATGGCATGGTCGAAGAGGAGGGTCTTGAGGCGGGACTTGAAGGAGGCTAAGGAGAGGGCGAGGCGGAGTGACTGGGGGATGGAATTGCAGAGGTTGGAGTCAGAGTGGCTGAAGGCTCTCCCACCAATGGTGGGGCGGGTGGGGCAGGGGATGTGGAGCAGGTCAGAGCCAGCTGAGCGGAGGGAATTGGTGGGTTGATAGGGGGTTAGGAGGTCGCAGAGGTAGGGTGGGCCGAGGCCATGAGGGCTTTATATGTGAGGACCAGGATCTTGAACTGGATCCTCTGGATAGGGAGGCAGTGGAGTCGGGCGAGAGTGGGGGAGATGGGGTCACGAAGTTTGGTGCGGGAGAGGACACGGGCTGCAGAGTTCTGGATTATCTGCAGCCTGTGGAGGGAGGAGTTGGGAAGGTCGACAAGCAGGGCGTTTGCATAGTGGAGCCTGGAGGTGATGAAGGCATGAACAAGAGTTTCAGTGGCCTGAGGGGTGAGGTAGTGGCGGAGTCGGGCGATATTACGGAGGTGAGGGAAGGCAGAGGGGGTCATGGCTTGGATGTGGGGAAGAAAATACAGTTGAGGGCGAACAAGACACCTCGGTTCCTGACTGGCTTGGTGAGTTGAAGTGTGCAACCATAGAGGTTGATGCTGCCAGAGCCTGAGGTGCAGAGGCGCTGGCGCGAGCCAATCAGGAGGGCCTCAGTCTTGTTCACATACAACTGTAGCAAATTTGCCCTCATCCAGGACTTGATGTCCGACAGATAGTCTGTCAGATGAGCAGTGGTCCTGGAGTTGAGGGTGGAGGCAGAAAGATAGAGTTGGGTGTCATCCGGATACATATGGACGTGGGCCCCATGTGTGTGGATGATGTCACCAAGAGGAAGCATGTAGATATTAAAGAGGAGAGGGCCAAGGACAGAGCCCTGGGGGACACCAGACATGACAGTATTAACTATGTTTATGCTGCATCATTGGGCCATTCATTATATTATCTTATTATTTTGAACCAAATAATAGTTATTTACAATGCTTCCTACTTATTTCAACAGAATTACATAAATTCTACAGCATGGAAACAGGGCATTAACATAACATAACATGTAGGAGCAGGAGTAGGCCATTCGGCCCTTCGAGCCTGCCCCGCCATTCAATCATGGCTGATCTTCTAATCTAACTCCAGCTAATAACCTGACCCTGCCTTATCCCCATATCCCTTAATACCGTTTGCAATAATTTTGCATTCAGCCCAACTAGTCTGCAATGGTGTTTATACTGTACATGAACCTCCACCCCTCTATTCACTTTCTCACTCTCTCTCTTTCTCTGTCATGTTTTTGAATCAATAAAGTATAATTCAGGTTTTCTGTTATAGAAACTCATTGGAAATGCATCATTTGCATTGCCGTATTGGAATTTTGCTACAGGAAGAAATGAGTGTGATGTGTGCACGGATTCTCTATTAGGATCTATGAGACCTGATGACCCAACCTTAATCAATCTGAACTCCAGATTCTCCCAGTGGGAAATTGTGTGCAACAGGTCAGTGGTCAATGTTTCAAAATAATTGCATGTTCAAATTGATTTTAAACTTCCAATATGAGCCAATTTATGGAATTATCTACCCTAGAAGGCTGTGGATGCCCAGTCATTGAACATATTTAAGACTGAGAATGATAAGATTTTTAAAAACTGAAGGGATTAAGGGATATAGGGATAGGGTGGGTAAATAGAATTAGGTTAGAAGATCAGCCATGGCAGGGCAGATGGGCCGAATGGCCTACTCCTGCTCCTATTTCTTATGTTCTTATGTTCATTGCAATCATAGCAAAGTGCACATCATTAAAAAAAGGGAAAAGATATGAGGAGAAAAATTTATATCAGTGATATCATCGATAGCAATTATCACATCGACCAAAATGAGTGGTTAAAAGTAATCAATAGTTATCACTAGTCTTGTGGGTGAAAGTGCCCATCACTGAGACCAGTGAGAACTATTAATAGTTTTTGTTTTTTTAACTGCCTGCTTGTCAGTCTTCCCAACTCTTCTCTCCACAAGCTGAAGATCAATCAGAACTCTGCAGCCAGTGTCCTCTCCCACACCAAGCTCCATGAATCAATCACCCCCATTCTCTGTCCCATCGCTCAGAGGATAGAGTTCAAAACACTCATCCTTGCATTCAAAGCCCTCCACGGCCTTGCTCCTCCCTACCTCTGTGATCTGCTAACTCCATATAGACCTGTCCTCTCCCTCAATTCAGTAGACTCTGTCCTGCTCCATTTCCCCCAACCTGTCCGCCCCACCATCAATGGTAGGGCCTTCAGCCTTTCTGCCCCCCACACACCCCCCAGGCCCAGACCTGTATCTCACAGATCTTTTGTCTCACAACCCCCACCTCCCTCCTGATCCCAACTGCAAATCCTTGACTGTTCAGCAATTGGGAAATCCTCCTGACTTGAAAAGTGCTATACAAATGTAATTTGGTGGTGGTCAGTGATAATATCAGATGCTACATTTTTCTTCCTGTAAATCTGAAGATTAATCAGATATAAGACCCAGTACTAGTGTGAGGTGATACATTTTGGTAGAAGGAATAAGGAAGTCACATACATCCTGGAGAATAAAAACCTAAATGGGGTAAAGGAGCAAAAGGATTTAGGGGTGCACATACACAATTCACTAAAGGTAGCAATGCAGGTTAATTAGGCCATAAAAAAAAGCAAACCAGGCATTGGGGTTCATTTCTAGAGGGATAGAACTGAAAAGCAGGGAAGTTATGGTAAACCTCTATAGAACCTTGGTTAGACCATACCTAGAATACTGTGCGCAGTTCTGGTCCCCACATTATAGAAGGGAAGTCGAGGCACTGGAGAAGGTGCAAAGGAGATTCACAAGGATGATCCCAGAACTGAGAGATTATACCTATCAGTAAAAGTTGAACATGCTTGGACTCTTTTCTCTTGAAAAGAGGAGGGTAAAGGGTGACCTGATAGAAGGCTTTAAAATGATGAAAGGATTTGATAGGATAAACATGGGGAAAATGTTTCCACTTGTGGGGGAGACCAAAACCAAGGGCCATCAATATAAAATAGTCAACAAATAGATCAAATTGGGAAATTAGAAAAAATTCTTCACACAGAGAGGAGTGGAAATGTGGAACATGCTACCACAAGGATTTGTTGAGGCAAATAGCATAGATGTATTTAAGGGAAAGCTAGATAGGTACACGAGAGAAAGGAATAGAAGATTATGCTTGAAGGCTTAGTTGAGGAAGGGCAGGAGGAGGCTCATTTGGAGCATAAACACCGGCATAGACCAGTTGGGCCGAATTGTCTGTTTGTGTGCTGTATATTCAAATGTATTCTAATGTTAAGTAAGATTTGCCAGCTGTATATTTAAATTCAATTACTCAGATCACACTTTTTCTATGGTAAAACTCTGTGTCTCTGAGCTATTGATCCAAGCAGCCCTTCTACCAAATATTAGAACTTGCTGCTGTATTTTAGCCCTGAACCTCCACAAATGTGTGACACCTAATAAAACTAACAGTAACTAAGCCTCAATAATGGTGGCTCCAGGTACACAAACTATTCCTAACCCTCACTCTGCCCAATATAAATGTTTTTATTGGTGAACTCAATAGCACTACAGGTGGAGTCCTGCAGCTCAGTGTTAGAGCACTCGCCTTGCAAGCGAGTCAAATGGGAACAATTCCAGAAATCCTGGGCAAGTTTCCTTACTCCACACACCTATTAATAATCCCTCCAAAACAAAAAACAATAATAAATTGGTCATTTTCAATCCACGACTGTTTGTGGGACACTGCTGTACGCAATTGGCTGCCGCATTTCGCCCACAAATATACGGTCAATTCACTTTACAGCATATTCTGTGAAGCGCTTTGAGATGTCTAGAAGACGTGAAAAGCGCTATATCAAATGCAAGGATTATTATTATGTTATTATAGAATTACATAGATTCGGATTATTATTATTATTATTATTAATGTTGTTAATCAAAAAGCACAGTTTTTCTGTTGTAATTATGCTGTTGCTGCTGAATACTATCATCCTTTCACTCCAGTATCATGCTGGAGCTTTGTCACAACAAATTGGTAAAAATACTTCCAGTTCTTCTCGTCTGTCCCACACCTTTCAAGGTCATGAAGCCATCTCTTTAAGAAAACAAATCATTAATCAAGTTTTTTTTTCGCAGCCCTTGGCCATTGCCATGAGGAATGCAAAATATAAATCAGGCTTTCTCTCTCACATCTCTCCTCTGCTGGTGACAATGTTACCACACTTCCAGCAGTTTAAATTTGGCAAGAATCTTTCCATGAAATGTATCTGTCTTAAAGACCACAATAGAAGATTTGTTTCTCATTCTGAGCTTCAATTACTGCTCTAGGATCTTGGACCGTCCAGTGATTGACACTGGGAATACTTAATAACAAACATACAACTCATAGCATGTTCACAAGTGGCAGTCCTAAGAATAATCATTCTATAATCAAATTGCCCCATTCATATTGACTACCTATGATTATTTATTACAACTAAGAGGAAGCTTATATGTTGTGTTGTTCTTGGTGATATTATTCAGACATGGAGCAACTTCCATATGTATGTGGATGATACCCAACTGTACCTTTCTGCCTCCACGCTTGACTCCAGAACCACTGCTGTCCTGACAGAATGTCTGTCAGACATCAAGTCCTGGATGAGAGCCAACTTTCTTCAGCTGAACATCAACAAGACCGAGGCTCTCCTGATTGGCTCCCGTAAACGCCTTCACACCTCAGGCGCTGACAGCATCACCATCCGTGGTTGCACACTCCACCTTACTAAGCCAGTCCGGAACCTTGATGTCTTGTTTGACCCTCAACTATCCTTTCTACTCCTCATCTATGCCGTGACCCGCTCTACCTTCCCCCACTTCCGCAAAATTGCCCGGCTCTGCCACTGTTTCACACCCAGGCCAACGAAACCTCATACACACATTCATAACATCCTCTCTGCTTGTCAGCCTCCCCAACTCTTCCCTCTGTAGGCTGCAGATCATCCAGAACTCTGCAGCCCACATACTTTCCCGCGCCAGGCTCCGACCCTATCACCTCCATCCTCACTCGACTCCACTGCCTTCCCATCATACAGAGGATACAGTTCAAGATCCTGGTCCCCACCTTCAAAGCCCTCCATGGCCTTGCTTCCCCTAACTCTGTGAACTCCTATACTCCAATGTCTGTTCTCTCCGCTCAGCTGGCTCTGACCTGCTTCACATCCCTTGCCTCGCTCGGCCTTCAGCCACTCTGCTCCCACCTTCTGGAACTCCATCCCACAGTCCTTCCGCCTTGCCCCCTCTTGCCTTCTTCAAAACCTACCTCAAGACCTTTCTCTTCAACCGTGCCTTTGATCACGCTCCTTCCCCCCTGCCCTCCACCCTCCCCAATCCCGACCTTCAGCTCGGGTCCGAAACACTGATTGTCCAACACTTTGGGATGCTCTCTTGACGTGAAAGGCTATACAAATGTAGTGTTGTTGTTGTTGTTATGTGTAGGAATCCTTCACACTCCAAATAACACTAATCTAAAACAAAGGTTTTAAACCATCAAATTTTATTGTATTTTTTTTAAAAAAACCTTGCAGTTTGGATGAATACAATCGTTTGGTGACCCTTTGCAATGGAACACGTGAGGGTCCAATCAGAAGAGGTTTGATGGAGAGAGGCAGCGTAAAGCTGCCAACCATGGAGGATGTTCGCAGTTGCTTATCCATTCCAGAATTTGACACGTCACCTTATTTCCAGAATTCAACCTTTAGCTTCAGGTAAGAGCATACACAGATACTCGACTCAGGACATGTGTAACATTGTGGTCTGTAGTATTCAACTGGGGTTTCATGATCAGCATGATCTGAATTTACATCCACCTACTTAGATATGTAGTGAGTGATAAAGGCAAATTTAAACAAATAGTATACTGACCTGTATTTAATATGTATGAACAAGTTAAATCAATTGTTCCTAATATGATAAACTGTTACATCAGCTGCAACAGTTATAAAGGAAATATGTTCCAATTAATGTTTTAACCAACTGAAAAGTAAATTTTATATTAAGTTTCTTGTATTAGATTAAGAGAAAAAAGTATAGATATGTTGTGGTGGCCCACAAACACAAAATCAGCCCTAGTAACACTTCTGCTACTGTAGCAATTCATTGTCAAATATGCAGTACAAAAGGGGCTCAAGCAATTCAAATGTGGCTGGAGTTCTGCTCTTGACACCACCTGGAAGAGGTGTTATTAGAAGTGAAGCATTTCTTACCTGCATAGTATTATGCATGAATTGTATTATTATAGTAGACACGTTCTTGTACAAGTTCAGCACTTTTAAACAATTCAACAAATGGCCCAGGAATTTTTAACTTAGTATTTTTATATTTTTTAAAAGCAATGATCATGGGGTCAGCTCTTTAAGAATATTGAAAAACAAACATTGATTTTAATGTCCATTCATTAATTCATCAGAATTGGACATTGAAAGTCATGAAGAGGGGGCAATATAAACTCAATGTTTGGAGTAAGTTATAGACAATTTTAGCTACCCTATTGGTATTGGATACAATTGATGTCACTACAATCACTTTACATGCAAAAAGCTGCATCCAATTTTCAAGGTTTGGGTTTTTGAAAGCTTGCAAACTGAGATCTGCAGAATCACCGTAATTCACCATTGTGGAAACAGACTAGTGCTTCACCAACTCAATGCCAAATAAGAAACTTATGCTTCCTATGTAGAGCTGTAACCAGTCATCTTGTTTTTGTTGCAGAAATGTGCTTGAGGGATTTGATAATCCAGATGGTGAATTTGACCCCCCGTTTCAGAATCTTCATAACCTTGTTCATTCTTTTTTGAATGGAACAAGCGCTCTAGCACACTCTGCAGCAAATGATCCTCTCTTTGTGGCAAGTATTTATTTAACCTGAAAGACTGAATTGCCATGACTTCATGCAATCGCCTCACCTCTTATCAGTTTATGCTATAATTCCTGTCAATTTTAACAAATGTCCTGCTATGTTCAGACATACAGTGCAATGTAGGTTATCTGATAGCACGTGCCTTTTGGCTGTTGAGGGTATATCCTATCCTGCATGTGTACTGCAGCACTATTTTGACAGTTTTTTTAATGATTAGTAACAATAACTACAGCAGTGAGTCCAAGCTTAATAAAGGAAAAGTAAATATTTCTACAGTCAATTTGAAACTTGTCTGCTTGAATTAAATTTAGTTTGTAATATAATAATAATAATAATAATAATCCTTGCATTTGATATAGCGCTTTTCACGTCGGGAGGACGTCCCAAAGCGCTTCACAGAATATACTGTAAAGTGAATTGACTGTATATTTGTGGGCGAACGCGGCAGCCAATTGCGCACAGCAATGTCCCACAAACAGTCGTAGATTGAAAATGACCAATTTATTATTGTTTTGGGTTTTTGGAGGGATTATTATTAGGCGTGTGGAGTAAGGAAACTTGCCCAAGGTTTCGCCCTGCCTAGAATTGAACCCAGGTGTCTTGCTTGCAAAGCAAGTGCTCTAACCACTGAGCTACAGGACTCCACTTTGTAGTGAAAAGATGTAGAGAAGTGGCAAGTCAGCAGGTTAAGCACACATCAAAAGTACAACGCCATTCTTACATTGTTCCTGTAAGCATATTGCAAACTTGTCAGTGAGTAGGATAGAATTATAAGCTCACAGTACTGTAAGGTCAGCGCAACACAGAGTCAAAGTAACTGCATCAGGGTTTACAGTGGGCACTTACTGACTCAATGTGACCCTCAAATATTGCATTTAAAGCACAAAAATTTCATAAATTTCAAAGAATGGTATTGAGACATCAGTGATGTTTGAAAAGGTAAGCATGGAAGTAACTTCAAATGAAGAAAGATCAGCTTCTTTATGCTTCCATTTTATAGGTGCTTCATGCCTTCACTGATGCTATTTTTGATGAGTGGATGAAGAGATTCAATCCCTTAATTAGCTCCTGGCCAGAGGAGATGGCACCTATTGGGCATAACAGGCAATTTAACATGGTGCCATTTTTCCCACCTGTGACCAATGAGGAACTCTTTATATCCGCAAATGAGCTTGGCTACTCGTATGCAATTGAATTACCAGGTAGGTTTGAAAACTGAAATGCTCCCTGCGTTTCCATGATACACCCATATTACATCTTTCATTCCAGAGAACAACAGTCCGGTGCAGTCAACAACAACAACAACAACAAGATTCCATTTATAAAGCAGTATTAACACATGATTACCCAAGATTCAAATGAAAATTCTCCTTTTATTACCCACTTGAAAGAGAAAGTTTTTCAGCTCCAGTTTTCTCCTCTAACAAATAAGAGTCAGCATACTATATATATATCATTATATATATGTGTATCTTTATAAAATAAGAGTCCTCCCGGGTTGTGACACCTTGGACCTTCAAACCTTCAATGTAATATGTTGTTTTGGTTAAAGTCTCCAGAAGCTTTGTAAAGATTGGAGCTGTATCTTCACAAGAGAGATTCAGATGAGGAAGGCTCTTTGCCCATTTGATCTCATCTTTCCATTCTACCATCCTCCCTGAATACTGGAGGGTAACAAATGTTGTCTTATTTTTCAAATAAATTAATAAGATACACTATGCACCTATAGACCAGTTATCCCAATATTTGTAGTTAGAAAAGTGTTTGAGAGCATAATACGGGAATGTAATCCATTCACATCTAAAGAGCACATGAACAATTAGGAGTTTTTCCAGGTATCCAAGCCATGAATTCTCCAGACAAAATTGATACTTCGATTCATGCCTGTTTGTAAGACATTAGTGCACAAACGGCTTCTCCTTCCGCTTTCACCCGGTTACCTGCGGGGTACCCCAAGGATCCATCCTTGGCCCCTTCCTCTTTCTGATCTACATGCCCCCTCTGGGGGATGTCATCCGCAGACACGGAGTACATTTCCACATGAATGCGGACGACACCCAACTCTATTTTTCCACCTCTCTTTGCGATTCCCAGTCCCCTGTCAGATCTCTGGGGCTGGATGAGCACAAATTTCCTTCATCTGAACGTTGACAAGATGGAAGCCACACTCTTTGGCTCTCGTCAACGTCTAAAATCTCACGGCTCTCACCTCCTCCACCTACCCGAACTCCCCTAAAACTCTCCAAACCCGTACTCAACCTAGGCGTCAGGTTCGACCCCCAATTATCCTTCCTCCCCCACATCCGGTTCCTCACCAGCACCGCCTTCTTCCACCTCCCACTCATCGCCTGTCTCCGCCAATACCTCTCCCCGAAAGCCACTGAAACCCTAGTCCATGCCTTTGTCACCTCTAAGCTGGACAATTCTAATGCCCTCCTTGCCGGTCTCCCATCCACCACCATCCATAAAATCCAGATCATTCAAAACTCTGCCGCCCGAATTCTCACCCGCACCAAACTCCGTTCCCCGATCACCCCAATCCTTGCCAGACTGCACTGACTGCCTATCCCAGAGAGGATCGACTTCAAGATCCTTACCCTTGTATTCCAATCCCTCCACTCTTCTGCAGCCTCTACCTCTCTGACCTCTCTCCTCAAAACAGTACCTGTCGCCTTTGTTCCTCCGGATCTGGCGTCCTCCTCGTCCCCCGAGTCCTCCGCTCCACCCTCGGCAGCCATGCCTTGAGCCACTATGCCCCGAGGCTCTGGAATTGCCTTCCTCACTCCCTTCGTCTCGGCCCTCTCTTCCTATTTTCAGGTCCCTGCTGAAGACCTTTCTTTTCGACCACACCTTTGGTCACCTTCCTCCCCCTCCCCCTAGCTCAGCCCCGGGATCCGTTACTGTGAAGCGCTTTGAGACGCTGTCGGGTGTGGAGAGTGCTATATAAATCCAAGTTGTTGTTGTTGTAGTGTGCACACATTGGCTGCATACAAATAAATGGGTACTACATTCTACAGTAAATCATGTGAAGTTCTTTGAGATGTCCTCCCCTTGTGAAAGGTGCTATAATGAAATACAAGGATTTTTAAAAACTCATTAAACCAATATTTTTATCCATTCTATATTTGTTGAGTTCCAGAATTTGCTCTACTTGTAGCATGTGAAGTTCAACTCCCATTTCAATCTCCACCTATGGGGAAGTATTTCACTCTGTTGACTACTTCATCTTACACCTGTCAAACACTAATGTATCTCTTGGAATTCACAGATCCTGATCCTCCCTTGGGTGTGATACTCGGTGCAACCTTCGGTACAGCCTTTTTGGGTCTTGTCTTGCTGATTCTTCTAGTGATGATTATTGCACACCAAAGAAAGAGAAGGGGCTTTGAACCCTTGATATGCGCAGAGTTTACCCCCCAAAAGTACACTGATGAAGCTGAGTAAATGCATCAATATGTCTACTAGTGGCCAAATTCTGGTAATGACAAATATCTACTATTATCCCGGGTGAATGTAGAACCACATATGCAATTGTGTGGCACTTACTATCTCATCAATAAATTCTAGTTGCCCCTGTAAAACAGCAGTGTGGCGTTCTTTTATGTATAACCAGTTATCTACTACATGCATATAATCTGATCTCATTCAGGCTATATTCAATTTTCAGCATCATTTTGTATTTGTGTTTAATAGTGTAAATGATAAGAAAAGTTAGTTTTGTAAATTATTAAATAAAATAGTATTTGTCTTCTGTATATAATCTCTTTAAATCACATTCTCACAGGTACAAATACACATTTCTACCCTTTATGAAAAACTGTGAAGCACTTTGCAATATTTCAACATAAGACGCTGCACCAAATTCAAGGATTATTATTATAATATTGCCCTGACAAGCAATTAATTTTTATAAACGACAATGGCTAAACGTGTCAGAAGTGGGGTTAGAATGGGTGGCACTGTCCAGGTAAGATCCAGGTCACCCATCTTTTAAAAAGAAAGGGTCTGGCCAGCCAACATGAAGAAATATTAATTAAATACTGTTATTTATTTTCCCAATCATGACGCTAGATTTTAAACTAAAACACATAGGAGACAACAGAGTAAAAGTAAGAATGCTACAATTGACTTCTCTGCCTTTGGTTTTGAGGTGCTGGGTACCAGCTGTCTGGGAAGAAGCACATTGATCACAATTGCTTCTCTGTTGCCGCTCCTTCTTTAGAATCTGCTTGCATTGCAAATGGGGTAAAATCCAGTTACCAGCAACTCCAAAAATCTTCAAACACCAGCAATAAAACCTAAAGAAATAACATGCTGTGAATTCACATTTTCAGTGAATTCTGGTCGAATAAATGGTTGAACTAGGGAGGCTGAAAAGATTGTGCTTTATAACACTCATTCACAACAGTATTTCACAGGCTGTTGCTTTCCCAGGTTATAATTGGATTTTATGCAGTAATTACTACAAAATAGCATGATCTTGATACAATTTTACAATCATTCCGAAATTGATCTGATTTGAGAAAGTGCTTGAAACAATCACTTAGGTTTTATGCCAGTTGCAATCAATATAGTCAACTTCTTAATTGTTAATATTAAAAGTATGAATGATTCCCAGGCAGTATGGTGCATGACTACCTGAACTTTTAATGGTAGTAAAAAAATCAATAGGACACTTAGTTCTTCATCAGCATTCGAATATGTCAGTGACGCACTGGTACCTGTGGGTGGAGCTCTGCACCTGTGTGTAAGTGTTCATGCACAGAGCTTCACTGTGCCTGAGTACTCGACAATGAATGAGTAATAATGCCTAATAGGATTGAAAACTGTATTGTTTCTTAACAAATTTGATATGAATCTGACATCAAATCTGTTATGAAACATTAAATGTTTGATCCCCTTGCAATTTTCACCCACAGTTCCTTCACTTGTAAATGTGGACCTTTAATGGACACCATGTACATATTTACTGCCTTAAGCAGTAAAGGGGTACCTGACAACATGTGATTTCTGCTGTGTGTGGGCCAACTAATGATTTCTGACATGTCTTTCCAACATGTAGGTTTTGTTGCATTCATGAAACATTGTGGCAAACAATGAACTGCAGTAAAGTGCATGTCTTTACCTTCCCTCTCCCAATAATAAACTCTACTCAGCTTACTGCCGAAGGAACATTCAGAACCAACTAATCAAAGCCGCTTCAATCAGGTCTTCTGTACAGACTACAACTATTCACACAGAATATGACAGCCATTAAAATAATTTACAATGAAAAGCAACAGAACTAAATTTTTATGCCACTCATTATGATTTTTTTCTATCTCAAACCAGCTAATTTTGACACAGACAGTGTGAAATTGACTGAACTCCAGGAGATTTCAAACAATTCAGTTTCACAGGAGGAGATGCCCTCTTCGAACCTGGAGCAGCTGTTGGACTATACTTCAGCAAGAGAAGCCTGGGGACCAGTAAGAGAGGCATATGCCAATGGAAAGAAAACAAATAGAAAACTTATCGGAGATTTTAAAATTTTAAATTAAAATCAAATAAAACATCAAAATAATTATACAAAGTGAAAAATGTAGTATGCGATTGTTGAACAACTGTTCAACACTTCATGCCCCTATAATTAGACTGCATGCTTTATATCACAGGACAAGAATATGAATGTTTCGCACTAGCTGGAATAACAAAAACAACACTGAGCGATACTTAAAAAGGTAGATTACTTACATTCAGTCTTGATGAATTTGTAAATTTCAAAAAACATAACAGTATCTTGATAGCAGTAGGAAAGGTGAACCATCTTAGAAAAGTTACCTGTACATAAGAACACTTGCATCAAATCAGAATTTAGCTCTCAGACACTCCACATACCAATAAACATTCTGGATATTGGTACATGTTGGTATACATGGTTCAATGAAGCAACATAATGTAAAGGAGAAAATTAGGCAACTTGAAACAGATAAAAGGGCAAACTGATTTGGGGAAATGTCAAAATGAGAATAAGACAGTATAAAAAATAGTAGGAAAACCAAAAGATATCACATGGAAGACCCTTAACATTTAACATGGTCTTTTATCAGAGAAACCATTTGGCCTTGAAGTAAACAGAAACAAATTTCAACTTCTGTAAAATGTAGTAAGAAGCATAAGAATAAACAGTTTAAAAAGTCCTGAAAGCAGCCCTTCAACAGGCTGATCATTCAGTCAAAACACATTTGATTCAAGAACCAATGACAAGCCCTAAAGCATCTTAGATCATGTAAATGTCAGGATACAACCACTCCCACATATTTCGGGATTAATAAGCAAATATGTTACACATTAAATAATATTGTAAAATGACAACTAAATGAACAGTAGCAACAAAAGTTTATGGGACACTGCTTTGCACAATTGGATGCCGCGTTTCGCCCACAAAATATACAGTCAATTCACTTGATATAAGGCGATATATCAAATCACGGATTATTATTATTAAAAATAGAATCCTGCTGGTCAGTGAAGATAAAATGTAGACATTTAAAGATGATTCCAAATTTCCTTTAAAGCTAAAAATATTTTGAAAGTAAAATATTCACTATTTTCTCTGCACTAGCCACAACATTTGAAGTTTGCAAGTTAGATATTTGCTTTGAATGGCTTCAAGTTAATTGTTAAAACCGGACTCTGCAAATATTTGTTGCGAATATCTACATCAGCCAGCCTTCCTTGACACAACTCACCTAATCTATATATCCATATCACAGGACACAACTGGGCATCAGCCTTTTGCAAAGATAAATATAAATAGAATGAATTAAGTTGTGTTAAATTTAAAAATTAAGTTAGACGAAAAAATAATGAATACTCACTTTTAATAATATACACAATAGGTTGTAGTAGATCAAGAATTTTGTGGTGTCATAAGATCACACATTGTTTGGATGAAGAAAGCCCCTTGGCTCATTTTATATCATCCTTCCTGTCTTCCTATTACCCAAGCCTTGACTATTGCCAACCTACACCAATACTCTCCGGAATTGGGTAAGCAGGATGTGTGCAATGATTTCCAATAAATATCTAGGGAATTTCCAATAAATATCTAGGGATGCATGGAGCTCTGAGTTTGGTTTGTATACGATTAAGCATGGAAGCTAATAGTGTTTGTTTAGATGCATCCGAACACTATATTAGCCCTGTTGACAACAGCTTCACATTAACTCGATACTTTTAGTGATACGTCAAAATCCACATACAAAACTTTTCCTTCACTTATGAGTTTATTCATTTACTCTTATTTCATGCTTCTTTATTCCAATGTTCATTACCTAACATTTATCCACATTAATTTCCATTTGACGTTCTTTCGTCTTGGTGCTTAATTGGTCCAGATTGCTCTGAATAACATCACTCTCCCATATATTTATCATCATATCACATAATTTAGTGTCATCAGCAAATGTATTACAAGAAGTTCTATCTACAATACTTACAAATTATTGTGGACTTAAGAGACACCACTAGTCACTAGAACCCACTAGATTTTATAATTTATCACTGTTTTTCCCTTCTGTTACTATACCAGTTTTCAAGCCTCTTTGCTAATTCTCCATTAATTTTATGAATATTAATCTTCTTTATAAGCCTCATAAATTGAGCACTACTATTGCATCTGAAAATCCAAGATTATACTAACTGAATTACCCTCATCTATCAACTTTACATGTGTCCTACATAATATATTCATTAAATAAGCGAAGAGATTGGAATTAAACATAATTTACAATCACCATTGAACCTTTACTTTGTTACATAAGATCACCAGAGTGGTTTGGATGAAGAATAGCCTTCTGCCCATTTGTCCTCATCTTTTCAGAGTATCCATAAACCGAGTCATCAGTAATGATCTATTCAGTTATCCTAGCTCTTGACATTCCACCATCTATATGAATTATATTCTTAGGCCCAAAGGATTGCTGGTACCTGCTGTCTGACAAGGTAAGTGTCTACCTGAGGGCAGCAGTTCACATTCAGGAGGGGAGACACAAGCTTTGCGATGCTTTTAGCTTTCCCTTTGCCATACACCTACTTATAAATACAGAGATTTATAAGCTCTAGAATTTGAACTTCTGAGCTCAAATTCTGAGCACACAACAAAGCTATAGTTTGATGGTTGCTGAAAAGAAAAGATGTATTGTTCTTTATCTAACGACAACTCTGTCTCTCCTTAGGAAGTGTGATTAAATCAAATTCTATTGAATACACACAGAACAGAATAAAGGTAAGATGTGAAATGATATCACATCGTTGAAAGTTCTACCTCTGTCAATATCTTAGTTAATGTCGCCCCACAGATTTTGTCAAAGCAGTTGATCATGAAGCAGCCTGCTGTGACCTTTGAGAGTACCACTCAACTAATTGTGGCAATTCATTGCTGGTGCACAGAAACCAGCTTGACGTAAATTTTTATTGCCATATCAACATGTTGCATTTTCACCTCAGCATTCTTTACTCTGGCCATGTACCATTTCATTTTCTCTATCTATAACTCTGCTGATGAATTATTCTGTCATTATTGTTGATGTGCCACAGG